AGCCAGGGAGATGCCAGCACAGGAGAATGGCAGCCCTGCACAGTGAAACACAACCTGACATGTGCTGTGCCATGAAATCCCACAAATGATCAGAGATGTGAGCTCAGCCACGTCTTCCAATAAATCTTTTATAGTACTCAGTCAAACCTTATACCTGGCTGACTCTAGGGGACTGAGAAGACTGATATGGCTGCTACCTCTTCTGGGTCATCATCTGACAAGTGCAGGTAAGTGACATAACCAAGAAATGGAGACAACACTATTTTGAGGGCTGGAAACAGTTTCACTGCTGAACTGCCTTCAAGGACAGGCAAAAGACCTTTTATGAAGGTTGATAACAACAACAACAGATGCTACTATTGCTAGTGCTTGGATTGTCAGACCCAGCTTAGAAGAGCTGTTTTGAAACTAGAATGAGAAGCAGAGGTTGGATTTCCACCTATGTGCAGTCACTTAGCTGTGTTAAAGAGATGTGTGGGAGATTTAAATAATAGTACTGCTGTGTCTAATTTCTGAGGAGTCCTCACCCTTGGCCCTGTCCTAAGCAGACCCCTTGTCCAAAAGTCCAGAAATATTAGAAAGTGAAAATGCACTTGATGTCCAGGTGAGCCTGGAGGATATGGCATTCACTGGGGAATGGATTCCTGCTCCAAGTTACATACACTTTTTCATTAATCATTTAGGTTATAAAAGCAAACACTTTCTAGGGTACTGATCTGTCATCCTTTGCTTCAGAAATGCTTGCTTCTTCCTTCATGTATTTTCCCTGATTTCTTTTTTCCTATAGCAGCCCAGCCTCAGCAGCAGGGGTAGGAAGGCATGCCCCAGGTTAGGAATAGGAGTAATGGCAGGGCGAGGGGTCATGTGCTAGGAAGTAGTTCGCTGCAGCCAGCATTTCCTCTGCTTCTCTGAACAGGTGGTTCAGAGAAGGTGGTCTTGTTTAAAGCCTCCTATCCCACTCATCCAAACAGATGGAGGAAAGAAATCAGGGTACTTTTTGTTAATTTTCTTTTTTTTCCTGAGCTGTAGCATTAAGCCAGCAAGCAGTGGCTCCATGCTCTTGCATTTCCTAAGACAGCTTGATAGAGACAGACTGGAAAAATATCAGGGTTAAGTATCAGTACAAAGTTGTTAAGCCCTGTATAGGCACAGATTCTTTGGCATCTTTGCGCCCAGAAGCAAAGCTGCCAATATGCAGGTTGCCTTTACATTTTTCCAAGTCACTTTCAGAGCAGTTGCCTGCTTACGCCTTGACAGGTGTGTAGCTGGGTGTCAAAGTTATCCACAGCCAGGTTAAGCCCTGAAGAAAACCTGAAGAATGTGATCCAAATGGTAAATTAGCAAAACAAAACAAATCAAACAAACAAAACCCACCACCACCAAAACCAAAACCAAACAAACAAAAAAAAAGAAGAAAAACTTCCAAAATTTGAGTATTCCTTTCTGAACAGTCTGAACTAACTATTCATTCATGCAAATAGGGCACTTAGGGCATGATTTCTGTTCTGCCTTCAATCTCAGGGAGGCTCCTTGCCTGGACCAGCAGATATGGGCTGTTTCTGAGGATGCTGTAAGCCCCACAGCAGCTGGCAGGGCAGGATAAGACTTCTTCCTGCTGTTCCTTTGTGTTTAGTATAACTTTCCTATAAAGCAGAGAGCTACTGTGGCTTGCAAACTTGCATCTATTTAGTCTTTTTTTATTAAAATTCTCCTTGACATCTATGTATTTCTAATCCCCTTAAAATATGGCTGACCTTTTGGTTGCTGTGATACCTACCCTTTGGCACGGAGGACCTCCTGCTCATCCTTCATGGCACACAGCTGTTTGCATCGGGCTCTCTGCTGCTGCTCCTCTGTGGTGTTCAGTGTCCTGCCCTAGTAATGCAGGCTATCACAAGTGGTGATTACCTGATTAGCTTATGCTGGGGAAGATGCTGGCTCTGAAGGGGAGATGGGTGAATGCAATGTCCCGTGATTCCTAAGAGCTCTATATTTTCCATTTAAAGATACTTAAATGCCAGAAAGAGCATTACAGGCATATGTTCAGGGAATTGACAGAATCAGGGGTTTGTAAGAACTTTTGTCCCCTTGTATTTAAAACCTGAGAAGAGGCGTGATGAGAAGAGGCGCGAGATGCCTGCTGCTGAGCTATAAAGGCTTCTTTGTGCTGAATCATCTGGCCTAAAAAGAGCTCTGGCTCTCTCCTGCTAAGTGGCCAGTGGTGCTGGTGGACCCCACGGAAACAGCTTTTGTTAGCCAAGATTAGCTGCAGGGAGAGGTGTCTCAGTCCTTTCGCTATAACAGGCTGCAAAAGGCACTAAGGAATGAATCTGAATTTTCTTCTTTTGCTCTACCACGGAGTTTTCCACTTAAAGCTGCAGTTGTTTGGCTCTAGACCTGGGACAGAGTGCAAGTCGGTATGGGAGCAGCATGGACTTAATGTGAGTACATGTGGATGTGGCATTGCAAGGTGGTGTGGAATAGAGGGGAGGATGCTGCATCTCTGAAGTCTATACTCAGATATAACTTTTTATTACCTTGATGACAGGATAAATTAGCTGTGGGATAAATGTTCATCCCAAAAAAGTAACCTCCCAACAAAAGCAGCCATCTTCCTCTCAACATGCTCAGGCAGTCCTTGCTGTCATAGGCTTCCCACTTTGCTAGAACTTAGTCATGCCTCAGAAAGCTTTATGCAAGGGCAGGTTTTATTGGGATGGACCAGTTCAATAGCCTGTTTCTATCAGTGCCTGTAAGACCAGGCTTCCTGTGAGCCTCTGAATACTGCAGCACTCCAAAGAAACAAAAAGCCTAGGAAAAAAAGATGGTAAATTGCAGTACCCTCACATTTCCTTCACTTTAATGAAATTCAGTGTGGTGCACTTACATTTGCTCCTTTATTGTTTTTTCCAGGCAGTCTCAGGCAAAGATTGGAGACTGAGTGCTTATATCAACAGCACTCGTGGCTCTCCCATCTGAAGCTGTATTTTTCAGAGGCAGGCCTGGTATTCACCAGGATGTATCCTACCCTATAGGGCAGGTTAGGTCAGAAACATCTCCTGGTTTATTTAAAAAATTGTACTGGACATTTTTCTGAGTCTTGGTAAATACGGATGTACTTTGTATAAAGAATGTTTTCCACACCTGCTCAGGAGGAGGTTCTATGGCCCATAAATGGGAGTGGTGTCCAGAAGATGAGAGACTTCCTGCCCTAACACTGGATGTACTCGAAGGATTGATGAGCAGCCACAATGTAGCAAACTCAACACAAGTCCCTCTAGGAGAGTGACTTTGTCCCCTCATAGGCAGGTGACTTCACTTTAAACCAGGACTGATTTGACTCAATCACGCTCATATTATCATACCTACATAGTCACGAGATGGATGTATCCAAGCTGCCTGACCAACATGCACCAAGATGTGTGTGTCCATCTTTGCAATGACTCTGAGGATGAGGGACAGTGCCCTCATGCCCGCATCAAATATTCTGTGTTTTTCTTAGATTGGTGACCTGTACAAGCACTGGATGTGCCGTTTGTACCCTTTAGCTTCTGGTAGAAGCTCAGAGGCCATGCCAAGCTCTGCTCCAGGGGTGGTCAGGACATGGAGCTATCTGGATGGATGCCTGTCACCAGAGCAGAAGGGTGCACAGCCACACACTGTCCATCCTGTTCCACCTCTGGGAGTTACCAGGATTTACTCCCAGCCCTTCATTTCCTGTGTCCAGAGCAGCAGCATGCTCTGTGTGTGCTGGCATCTTCGTGAGCTTTTCATTGAGGTCCTGTCAGCATCTGTCACTCCTGTAGCATCCATTTACAGTCTCCTGCCTTTGGTTCCTTCTGGTGCCTCACATGCAGCCATTGCCATTCCTTCCCCACTCCTACCAATCTTCCCATTGCTATGACTATTAGGATATTCTTCTGTCATTAGAAGAGAGATAAATCTGTAAGAATCTTTTTTCTGAATGAATTGCTGTAACAGATTTTTTTTTTTTTGTGGGGGAATTTGCATTATGGACATTAAAATGCATAAAATTGTGTACTTTTTTTAAAATCAATTGCTTCAAGGGAGAAAATAAGAAATGTTTCTGAGGACAGCTTTCCATTATATGAGAAAATAGAAGCTCCATTCCTCATTCTCACACCATCTCTGTTTATTAACCCTAACTATTTTAGAAATAAAACATTTCTATATCTTTCATGTAAGCCAGGCTAACAGCATCCGCATCACCATCAATGCAAGTGCAGAAGCCACATAGAAAAGGGAGGTAAAAAGCTTTTTTTTATGCTTTATTCTAAGCTCCAGAGGCCTAAGAAAACTGCCTGAAACTCTTCACAGTTCATGCATAGCACAAGGTAGACTGTATTTGAGTGTATGCAGACAACCTGGACCAGCCCTTTGGTGCATCCAACCCAAAATCTTGTTTCCAGTAGTGGCCATAACAGAATAGGCAAGAAAGACTGTAGGAATAAGACAGACACAGTAACTTCCTCTTTGTATTCTCTCAGTCTATAATAATTTTCAGCGTAGTTTATATGTGTTTAGCAAGTCTTAAAGGATTTTTCTCCCAGTAGCTTGTCCTTGAACCAAATTCTAGCATCTCCAACATCCATTGGCAAAAGCTCAATAGTGGACCTCTTGTTGCCTGAAGGGTTGCTCCTCTTATTTTAAACCTCGTCCTCATAGTTTCTTCTGATGTTCCTGAGTTCTCCCAATATCCAGAAGAAGCATGACCATAGGTTATGCTCTACCTTTTGTAACCTGGTTTGGGTCTTCCTGAGACCCAGGAGTCAGTTCTGTTATGAAAGTGCATTGTGGGTGTCTGCAAAGGGATATTAAAATGAAAATCAGTATTAGAGGCAGCATAATTTATTTCTTTGGAAATAAATACTTCAGATGATTTAGTTACAAGTTTTTTTTCTCCAAATACTGATTTTCCCAATTATGCTAAGCTTGTGAGTCTGTCTTTAGAAAGACTACAAATATTTTTAGCTCTAATTTCTATCATATGGCTTATCTCAAGTCTTAGCTTGTTTCTCCAGCAAACAATGTCTAGCACAGCATATTCATTTCCCACTCCACTGAGTGCATTATGATGCTGATGTCCAGCAGGTGAGTGTTTCACTGGAACGTATTTAGCAATCATTCTTTAAAGGGAAGGTATTTTTCATCCTGGATTTTTCAGACACTACATCTTATTCCATGTTTGTTGCCTATAAACTTCTCATAGCCCAAGGAAAGATGTTTCTAGGGGAGCAGTTGTTGATTCGGATGAACAGAAAATCTGAATGTGCATAAAACACTTCTCCAACCACAGTGTTCAGTCTGTGCAAGTCAAAACTGTTCTCACCCAGGCGTTAAGTGATGGGTGCCAGGGAGAGCACTCCCCGAGCACACAAGGAGTGTGGCAAGGACAGGTTGCAGGCTCAGCTCTGTCTGGGGCAAGCTCACTGGAAGGGCTTGAGAAAAAAAGATGTTTATGTTGCACCTGTGTTTGGGGTGAGTGATCCCCCATGAGGACTCACAGTGGCAGCCTGTGACATCCTTTCAGTGCAGGGCTCCTCTGGTTTTTCACTGACCCTCTGCCAGGACCAGCTGGGCTCCATTTCTGTTGGAAGGGTGGTTGCTGTCACTCTGGGTCTGAAGGAAATACCATGGAGAAGGAGAAATGCAGGACCTGGGGGGACCTTGGTAATAAGGTAGCAAAGGTAATAAGGAAGCAAAGACACCCTGACAGCTGGGTCTCATTGATTTCCAACAGGTTGGCATTTATATTTTATTTATACATTTAACAGAAAACAAGTAATTAGCACTAAGATAGGTCATAAACCAGCAGCAATATAACATGGATCATACTTGATGTAACACTTACTGTCAGAAAAACTGTACATAAGCCCACAAGACACGATGCATGAAGTAAGCATGAAAGATTGCTCCCCAGGTACTGGTCCCAGGGAGCTCTCAAAACTCTGTCAGCAAATAATTTCTATGATTTAGTTCACATTCTTCCTTTCCCTGTAAACAATTTGATCTGGATGTAAACCGTCAGGAAATGCTATGATGGGACAAATGCTCAGGGCTGCTCAGAGGCCATGCCAAGCTCTGCTCCAGGGGCGGTCAGGACATGGAGCTATCTGCATGGATGCCTGTCACCAGAGCAGAAGGGTGCACAGCCACACAGCTCTGCTGGGCAGGGCTCTGTACTGTCCCTCCCTAGGACACACAGTGGTGTCCAGGACAAGCACTTTCCTCTACACTTGTTTCTACGCTTGTTTTCACCAAGCTTGAATAAAAACCTGTCTGTCCTGAGCAGGAGCAAACCTCCATGCAGGTGGCCACTCAATTCCTCTGTAGGTTGAGCTGTGCTGTGAAGGGCAGGTGGACTTTAAGGCCTTCTAGCGAAGCAGGGTGGAAAATCAGATGCAGATCTATAGCAGCTTGTTTTATTTCTTTTGTACACAAAAATAAATAACTCAGTGCTGTGATGTCCTTGGGGTTAATATGAGGTTAATAGCAAGGCTGTATTACATTTTTCATCTTCCTTTCCAACTTTTAATCTGTAGTTGATTTACTTTTTTAACTCACAAAACACAGGAGTGGCCTAGAGATACTCCTGGGACTGCAGTAGGAATCAGGTAGGGACAGTGGGGCTTGGTATATTATCTCCAGTTTTAAACGATTTTATCAATTCCAGATCTGGAAATATGTATTATTTTAAAAGCATGGATCCTGGAGTGTAGAACCCCTCTTCTGCAGCCAATCTCCTTATCAGGGAACTGTGAAGTATGTCACACCTCAGATTACTTAGCGGACAATTGATCCTTGAACTTTTAGACCACCTTCTGTTTCCTCTAATATTAAGGCTCAGTCCAAGCTCATCACATTCAAAATAATTCCTGTTAAACTGCTGTGAGTGTGCTCCCGTACAGCAGCAGGCAGCTGTGGGAAGGGCAGGCTGCCTTGCAGGCTTGCCTGAACAAGGAGCCTCCAACTGCTACAGCTGGGTGGCTGCATGGGAGCAGAGTCCCCTTCCCAACCTGCTCCCTTTCACTTGTGAAACACTTGAGTCCTTTGAGATCTGCAGAAATGGGATGTAACTGATTTCCAGCATCGGGACTGCAAGAGAAACTTGCATATTTAAAAGCCTGAGGCATATTTAAAAGCCTCATCTTTGCTGCTAACTCAACCACTGCAGGAGACTCAGATTTCCTTTCTTCATTTTTCCTTGACACTAGGGCCATTAACTTCCCAACTGCTTTCTGTGTCAGTCCTAGCTTATACCAGCCTTGCCTTTCCTGGATAATCCCTTCCTTTCACTGGCACAGAGCAGCCACCAGAACTGGGTTAAAACAAAGATTTCAAGAAGAGAAAAAAATTTTTTTTTCATTTTAACATGGATCAGTTCCTCAATCCTGTGCTTCACATTGTCAGGGGTGAGTAAAAAAAATACAAAGGGAGACTAAAGAGCAAATGATGTGTGCAAGGACAACCTAAACTATAAATGGATGGATGTGATCAGTCTCAGTCACTCAGCTTTAGACAATATAAAAATCCTCTTTAAGTCTTCAGGTATTTTTGTAGCCTTAAATCACTGTCTCTCTTCTCTCTGAAACAAGCTCCAAAAATGGAGAGTGGCAACAACGGCAGAAGCAAATGGGACCAGTGCCGTGAGTAGGTGTATGGGGTGAGCAGCTCTTGCCCAAAAGACCAGCCTCATTCCTGGCTCCTCGAGCCACCCAGGTGACCCTGGAGGACTGACATCTCATTTTATTTTCCTGATTTCTTGCAGCTTGTGGAGACTGAAGCAGGACTCTGCTCTGCTCAAAAGAGTGAGGGTTTAGAGGTTGTGCCAAGTAATCCTAGGATATGTGTGTCCTGGCTCGCACACATTGCTTAGGCTGGAGTAAGTTTATTCCACTTTGAATTTCTACCTTCAAGATGACTCCCAGGGGGGTGAATTCTGACCTGCAGCTCATAGGGACAGAAGAAGAAAGCTCCAGCAATGTCAACCAGCCCTTCACTCCCTATATTCCCCTTATGCATCATCCACCGTCTGGATTTCTGATGGCCAAGGATGGTGGCTTTAGGCCCACTGCAGGTACATTTTAATCTTTGGTATCTGATTTTGAGTCTTTGATTGGAAAACAAAAGTAAGTAGTAAGCTGTCACCTCCAAAGTGTCCTGGCCAAGTGGCCCAGGTTACCAATACTGCTAAGTACAGGTGCTGCTGCTGGGAGCAGTTCCTTGTGGGTCCTGGCAGCCAGCTAACCAGGTGCTGTTCTTTCTGAGAGATATCACCAGACATTCCTGCTGGCATTAGGCTATGAAACACAGCCGTGTGTTATCACTGAGCAGAGTGCGGTAGGAAAGTCCCTTTTCAGGTGTGGGGTGTTCAAACCAATACAGGGGACTGGGAGCAGCCCATAAACAACTTGACCTTCACTCCTGCACAGAGATCACACATCCAGGCTGCTCCTGGGTTTCTGAGGTGCTCTTGGTTGAGCAGGTCTATGCAGTCCTCTCCTCAGACCAATTGAAAAATGACTGCAATGTTATAATAAACCCAAGGAATAACTGAATTTTCTGGAGAGGCAGAGTCCTACAGCTCCAAAAGCAATCTAAATTTTTTAAAGGTTCCAATCACTCTCAAAGCATAAAGAAACACGATAGAGATAAATGCAGGGGAAAGTTAGAGATGTACTGCAAGGCTGCTATTTTGGAGTATGAATTTACTTTTCCATTAAAAACAAGGTCTTGGAGTTTAGGGACAATCTGCACTTAGTTCTGGATCCTGTGCCTTTGCTGCTCCTTTTATTTACAGAATAAGCTGCAGAAAACTGTTGTTATTTTAGACATGCATATTTTTTATCTGAGCATTACTGCCTACCAGAGACATTGATTTTTTTTTAATGTTGGCTAATTTTGTGTTTTGAGTAGGAAGTTTCAACTTCACACCAGTGCTACACATGCTCTTCTGCTATCCAGCAGTCTGGGCAAGATAAACCTGTAACCAAGATATGCCTCCACTAATCTCTATGGCTTTTAACAAGATTCTATTATTGCTCACCTTACTGTGGATTTTGAGAAGATGTGGGGAGTAATCTTTAAAATATCTGGGATGCAGGAGAGTGTCCCTATACGTCCACCCAGCCCCAGTTTTTGGTTTTGCTTTCTAACTGCTGAACAAAGCAGGGAAGGCAGGGCCAGGTGAGCTGCCTGCAGTGATCTCTGCAGGGAGCCAGCCTCTTTCCCCCCCAAAATGCATTACCCACCTCTGCTTCCATACCAGATGCCTTCCCAAATCCTCAGTCCCCTCCCAACACTTCTCTAATGTTTGTCCTGTACCAGCCTAGAGCTCACAGGAGAGGGGACACTCATGGGCCCCATCCCTTCTCACCCACACTTACGGTGGGAGTGCCCAGGCAGCGTCAAGGCAGGAAAAGTCTGTAAAAAGCAGCAGAATTAGCAAAGTCTTGCACATCAAAGCAAGTCCTAAAGCAGGCAAAGCAGCAGCCAGGAAAGGTGGTGACCCAGTCCCAACATTTTGCCTTGTCCATCTCTCCACCTCGGCACAAGGTGGAGGCAGCGCCAGCACCCTCAGCCTGCTCCATGGCTCATCCATCGGGAGCAATGAGGAGGATTAGCACTTGGTATCAACTTGGGCATCTGCCTGCCTGCCAGGTTTGCTCTTTAAAACAGGCTGTCAAGCACAGATAGCTGTTGAATCAATGTGTGCCTGGTAGCTGTTGCTTCTGCCAGCACAGGGTGGGCTGAGCCACTGCACATCAGGAGGGATCCAGGCTATGACAGAGAGGATGCCAGTGCTGACTCCTCAGTGCCCGTATCAGATGACTGTGAGAAAGCAGTCAAACAGGAAGACTTCAGGGATGGTGTCTGCCACTGCCAGTCTCCCCTGCCAGTGCCAAACATGCATGTTTGCTAAGCACAGAGGAGACTGGATACAGTATGGTTGCTCAGTTCTTTCAATGAGATGTGAAAGCAAGAGCCTCCTCCATGAGCCTTGACAAATCCTTTCCACGTCCTGAACAGACTATGAAAATCAGCTGACATCCAGATCACTGTCTCCTCTTCCACTGGGCAGCTTTTCATGCCCATCCCAAGGCTGCAAATTGCTGTGGATAATAGCTGTGACATTTATCCAGACGATGGCTGCTTACCCGTGCTTGCATGGAGGGCCTGGTGTTTGATGGTCCCGTTGCAGAGGTGATGTCTGGCTACTTGGAGCTTGTGTACTTGGTGACAGCCTTGGTGCCTTCAGAGACAGCATGCTTGGCCAGCTCTCCTGGGAGCAGCAGGCGCACGGCTGTCTGGATCTCCCGGGAGGTGATGGTAGAGCGCTTGTTGTAATGGGCCAGGCGGGAGGCTTCTCCAGCAATGCGCTCAAAGATGTCATTGACGAAGGAGTTCATGATGCCCATGGCCTTGGAGGAGATGCCAGTGTCAGGATGAACCTGCTTCAGCACCTTGTAGACATAGATGGAGTAGCTCTCTTTCCTGCTTTTGTGCCGCTTCTTATCGCCCTTCTTCTGGGTCTTTGTCACAGCTTTCTTGGAGCCCTTTTTGGGGGCTGAGGTTGACTTTGCTGGCTCTGGCATCCTGAGAAATCTTTCACTGGGTGTTGGAGCTGCTTGGAGAAAACATGAAAAAAAATGGAATTCTTTTTTGATCTTCTACAGAATAATTGTATTGAAAGATGAGAGAGTCTGAGTCAGAGATAAGCAATAGCTCTGAATCTGAGACAAATACCCCATGATCCTGTGCAAGCATTTTTGAACTGCCACCAAGAACTGCTCTGGTTTGTGTATGGCTTTTTGTTGTTCTCTGTTTAAATCCCTAAAACACTGGCCTTGTCAATATCACTGAACACAGGTCTAGTTGGCGTCTACTTAGTAAATATGAGATGGAGGGTGAACATCTTTCTGAGAAAAATATTGTAGTTCCAAAGAAAACACTGACTGCGGTATGGATTAAATTAAATCTTCCTGGAAGACTGTTCCAAGGTATCAGTGAAGCCACCTTTATATGAAACTGGTCAAAATAATTTTATGTGGTTATTACAATCTCTAATAAAACCTTTTCTCTTTGCATGTAGGTAGAAGTTTATTTTGAGGGTACTTGCATTTCTGTGGTTGTTGTTTGACACCATGTATTCCAGTGGAACACAAAATTAATACACTTTTAAGCTAGCTAGCTGAGCTATAGAAATCTCTCATTATTCATATTATCTAGCAAAAAATATCAGAGAGTACAAAAGCTTAGAGGTGGTGTCAGGAATCACCTGGAAAAAAAACATCAATGTGGTTTTGGGCTACATGTTGATAGAAAGAATTGTTTCCTGCTATTTGGTTCTTTCTGCTTTTGAGTGAGCAGGTCTTCACTGGACAATTTACACCAAACGTGCCTGATCCTCCCTCTGAGTTTTTCTTCATTAGGCCACAACCTGCAGAGCCATGATCTGCAGCTGACTGCTTTCATCCAGAAGTGCAGTAACAAAAAGGCAGTATGTAAAAAACTGTGTGCCTTCACTACACTACAAATTTACATGTGCTTTACTACGTGGGTCAAGTGAACAACCGTGTTGCAACCTGGTAAGCTTCCAGCATCACCCCAGGGCTTGGGTTTTACTGCTCTGTGTCCCCTTTGAAGATGACCTAGGAATTTTAGTCTGCTGGCCAAGAGAGACTAGTAGAGAAAAAAGAGTTTCAGAGCTGATGACATACAGGAAAATGGATAGAAGTAAACAGGAGAGAGAAAGCTGGGATGTAACATATGGTCTGCATACTCAAGAGTATCAGAGAGGGACCTAAATGGTGCCTGTGCCAAAGCAACGGCTGCATGCTCAGCCCTGCCTCTCCTTCTTGGGAAGGAGTGAGACACCTGGTTTCTCCACTGTTGCCTGCATTTGCATTTAAAACTAGACGCAGCAGCACTGTTGGAATCAATCTATGCAAAGTTCCTGGTTGCTCCCTATGGGAGCAGACATCTTTGATACCAAGGCTGGATTCATGTGCCCACATCTCAGTGGATACCAGCTCCTGCTTCCAAATCATGCAAGAAACTTCTGTGGCTCCAAATCAGTATGTGAGATGATGCCTCCTGCACTGCTGGCTGCTCCGTGCCATGAGGCACCAGTGCTGGGCTCTGGCAGCCTCATGGTCTGGCAGGCACTGGGCAAGGGGCAATGCTGAGCACTTGAAGTGGGGGTACACCCAGCTGCAAGGGCAAATTGGCATTGCTCGGGATGCCAGGCAGCAGGGAGGCAAGGCCTTTCACCACAGCCCTCCAAAACACCCTCCTGTCTAGAAGCCAAAGCTGGCATCAGTGTCCTTAGCGCTGAGTTTCTGCTCCAGCAAAGCAGTTTCTTCTCCAAAGACATGATTTTCATGGGCAAAGTGTTTCACTATGCCACCTCATCCCCTTCCTTAATTCCCCATGCATTCTTCTCAGTGGTGGCATTTGGAAGGGCTAGTGCTGGACTGCCCCAAAAGTTCTGGACAGCCTTCAAAACTCTGACACCTGCCCCCTTAAACGTCACATTTTCTTCCTCTGGCGAAATCACAAATTTTCTTCCTTTTTTCCTCTATTTGGGAAGCCCTACTGAGAAGAAATCCCCTACTGCTCTGTTTGTAGACTTGAAAATATGTCTTTTCAACGGAAAGGCATTTTTCCAAGAGAAGGGATAACTGTGCACATGCTTCTTTTTCTCTTAAGCTCATTTCCTGACAAAAACACCACAACTGAAAAATGCAAATGACTACTTCTTAGGCTCTTAAAAAGTATGTCCTTCTGAAATATGCATTAATTCTTAAGTGCACTTGTACTGCAGCTTTTAAAAAATGAATATAGTGCCCAACAGTCACCAGAGTGATTTCATATGACTCCAGGAAAGGTCACACCTACAGGACATCTCTGTCCATTTGACTGCTAACACCCACCCTTGGGCAGCACAGCCAGGATCTTACTCTTCTCCCATGTGTGGCCACAGTGATGCTGAAGTTCAGAAATTAGCACAAAAGCTTTGGTTTCCTTGCTTCTCTCTACCCATTTCTTTGCAGCTGACTGTTTAACAGGTAAATAACACCTGCTTTGAAAACAGATTGTATTCCTTTTGATTTATTTGGGCAGTGTCTACCACAAAGAGCCTGAGTGCACTTACCAGGTAATAAATAAATAATGTTACAAATGATCAATGGTGTCACCAACCCTTCTGTCAACAGTGTAACACAACCCAGAGGCAGGTGCTGCTCTGGTATGAAGACAGAAGTAGTGGAATTATTCCCAAAGTGTCCATGTGGAGAGTTTGTTGAGGAAAACACTAAGTGATCTTTAAAAAAAAATGGTTTCTTTTTATGAAAATAGTTGCATCTCTTTCTTTTCCCTTAAAAAAAAAAAATCAAAAAAACCCCCCAAAAAACAACAAAACCAAAGAAAGAGAGAGGGAGAGAGAAAGAATCTGGAGTTGTTAGGTTTTGTGTTAGGAAGTGCTGCTATCATGATTGACTTCTCTACTGTGAGGCTGACCAAGCACTGGCACAGGTTGCTCAGAGAGGTTGCAGGATATCAATCTTTGGAGATACTCAAAATCCAACTGGATGTGGCTCTGAGCAACTCACAGTCACTAACCCTGCTCTGAGCATGGACTGTACAAGATGTTTGCCTGAGGCACCCCCAACCTCATAATTTCTGTGACTTGGAGACTGAAGATGGGCAGAACACGTTTTATGGGCTGTGTTCTCTTGATGGGCGTTTCTCATGGGATACTGCAGCCAGAGACTTCCATAAGGATGCCTAAGGAGGGGAGGTGATGCTCATTTCCAGGTCCAAGCCACTGAGGTCCCTGGGACACAGGATATGCAAGAGAAGGCACTCTGAAGCATCATGGTGACATTTGGAAGGTTTCAGGTTTTTGAGGAAAATCTTTGGGCACATTTTTACTTTATGGCTTTGTATGCTCTGAGTCAATCAGTTATCAGTGCTGGCATTTTTTTCTTTCCTCAGAAAACCAACAACAAAACCAGTGACAGCAATTTTTCCAGCCAGTTCCAAGCAGCAGCCTGACTGCTGCCAGAAACCAGAGCAGTATGGAGTGACACATACATCTTCCTTTGTGTTGACACCCCTTTCTTCAGCATTGTTAAAAGGAAAACAAACAGAAAAACATATTCAAAGATACAAATCACCACAGTCTCAGACCTGAAATGGAAAGGAGCCCTGCTGAGAAATCCCATGCTGTCTCTGTTTTCCTCAGGCCTGATATACAGTTGGAGAGAGACAGGCAGGGAAGCTCCTGCAGAATTTTTGTTCATTTTTTGCCTTGCTGCTGAGTCTGTAGGACCAATGCCAAGCTGGTGACAGCGGTGTGCATGGCTGACTATTAGCTGGCCTTCTGGACCTGTCCTCATGCAGGGCTAGAAAAAGCACTTGGATTTTCTTTCTTTCTTTGTCCTTTTGAAAGCTGTCCTTGCTGTGATGAGCTCTGGGGCATCCACTGTAAATTCCCATGCCCACCAGGCTGTTCCCTTACTGTAATTTCCTAATCAACCATAAAAGATACATTTCTAAAATGAACACTTTGTTATTTTGTTTTGGTGGAAAATTAAACATTTGTAGGAAAATCTCAAGCTCTCATCTTTTGGGCATCTGATGTTCTGGTTTTTGCAAATCTTCTGATGTTCTATTTTAATCTTTGCTAGAGTAAATGAGAGCCAGTGGGCACCTGCCCCTTCAGTAGAAATGTCCAGTTCATTCTGTTCAATTATTATCCCTTTCCTTAGTTTCTCCTATTGTATAAAAGAAAGAATACTTGGCTTTATTCCTACATGCCAAGAAATGTAAAGTGAAATTGGCTGATGCTTTTTTTTTTTTTAACTTCTCTGAAACACAAAGAAGGGCAATTAATTAGGAAATGTTTCCACCAAAAGGAAAAGGCTTTCCAACAGATTCATCTGCTCTGAAATGCTCATAAGATCTGGTAAATACAGTTTACAAGTTACAAATGACTGTTATTGGAACAGCATATTTCTGCAAACTGCAAATCCCCTCCCTCATATAATGTGCAGCCATCTACCTGGAAGTTATTAAACAAGAATTTGCTCATCTGACAGGTATAATTATATAGTAATAGTTGAGAAAATAAGCAATATTTCGTGATTATTTGGTACCAAGCTCTGCCTTAGGTACTGAAGCAGATCAGAAGCGTGATGACTCGCCATGAGAATCTGGGGATGATGCCTCATGTGCAAAAACTGATAGTCATATTTTGGACTGAAAAGAATTTTTCTCTTGCTATGTTGTCTAGCATGTGATCATGAGGTAATATTTGCTTTGAAGGAAAGCAGAGGAGAATTTCCTAGAATAAGGTAAACTGTTCTGAAATTCCCAATTCCAATGATGGAGGGGCACAGATGACAGTTTTGGGATCCTAGGTCTCCTTCCAGGTAATCCAGTACCAATAATAAGGCCCCATCCCCACTTCCACATGCTCTGCTACATTGTATATGATATGAATGATAAAGTTATCATTTAAAAGGCTAACTTTTAACCTGGGATACACATATGCAGTGTTCTAGTGAAGAGATTCCTGCTTGCGTATAAGACCACGAAAAGAGCTTAAAACTGAAGATGTCCCTTACTCCTTTACATAGAAAGAAATGCTACAAATTCAGTCCCTGACACAGACACACTATGTTCAAAGAAATCTTTAAATTTCTTTAGAACAAATACAAGCAGAAAAGAGCAGTGCCATACACTGGTGTCCTAACTCTTTGACTGATCCTTATCTTGCTTGTGTTAACCCATTGCCTGGGAGTTCAGTACAGGGTACTCCCTACAATAATATTTTCTCTTCTTTTCTATAATTCCCATTTATTATTTTTAGAAAACACATTTTTAAACACCAGAAAGAGCTGTCATTTCTTGTGCTACTTCTGCCCAAGTTGTAAGTACTTCTCAGGGCTGTGGGGGTAACAATCAGAGATGCTTATGTACATAGTAAGGAGCAGGACCCTAGATTTGAGCTCTCTGCAGAGAAGATACACTGAATTCTTAAGGAAAATAAAATCTTACCCATGAGTGAAGCAGAGCAACAGAGAGACAATGTTGCAAGAAGAATGACTGTCAGAAGGCTAAATATTCAGTCCTTAGGCTGATTAAAAGAGTGTCTGAAGTCAATGGGGATTTAACCTGGGTCTGAAACCACAAACACAATGTTTAGAGATGCTTAGCACCAACAGCCGACATTGATTTCCATTGGAATCCAGGAGGCTCAGTACTTTATAAAAATCAGAGTTCATGTTTTATCAAGGTTTTGTTACTGTTAATGAGTACTTAAAAAAGCTTTATTATCTGCTCTTTATAAGAGCACTCATTATCTACCTGATTTGGGATATCTCTGATCTACGCGCTTGACCAACAGCATCTAATAAATGCAAAATTATATTTTCTCTAGATCAATACCTGTTAAATGTTTATGAGAGTTCACCCAGTTCATCTGCTACAATTACACTCCAGGCAACCTTCACACAGAGTGCCAGGGTTTCAGAGAAACCTGTAGGAGCTGGACTTTGATGATCCTTGTGGGTCCCTTCCTACTCAGAATATTCTGTGATTCTGTATTATCACAAACATCCTCAGAAAGTCTTCAGCACTAACACAGTCCAACAGAGAACACAACCAGGCTCACTTCCTTCCTAGGGTTTTACCAATAAGTCAGAACCTTATACAACATAAACTTCAGCACAAGCTTCCTCTTCAAGTTTCAGAGTCATCAGGATTTGCTGCTCCTGCCACAAATTCTTTTCTGAAGCAAAAGGCTTCTGTTCCATTCCTATCCCACTTCAACTCAGCTGGACCCGCAGGGGATCAACCTGTCACAACTCTGTGTCTGGGTGTGGGGTTTAGCTCCTGTCCCTAGACTAACTCAGCAAAGTCACTCGGAAGGCAGGGAGAGGTCAGAGCCTGCTGACCATGTACAGGCAGCTGAGCTACAACCGATCTGGACCAATCCTGCTGGGCAGAAGCAGCAAGACATCACAGCAGCTCCACTACTCAGAAGCATCACAAGCTCTATGTAACTTCTTGGTGGTTTGCAAAGAAAAGACAATTGGAGATGGGTGTGAGAACAAAAATCATAGGTGACTAACAAAAGAAAGATGCTTTACTTATTCCATTACACCCTATGCTATTGAAAATAAAAAGTGCAGATTTCAAATAAATTGCTCTGTGCCATATAAGAAATTAAAATCACTTGATCTTTAACCACATCATTTCAATTCCTCTGGAAAAGCAGAAGAGCACAAAATCACTTAGTCTGCTATATCTAAAGAACTCCTTCTAAAATGGAACCATGGTCTCTAAACTACTAATGATAATAAGCCTAAAGAACTGCTATGGCCTTTAAGCAAACTATTTTTATACATTTTATGAAGTAATGGAGAATTATCAAAATTCTAGACCATCTTCATCAGTGCTGAAAAAGCATCCACTAAAAATGTGCTAATTCAGCCATTCAGGCAAAAATATGAGAGAAGCTACAGCCCAGCACCCGCAGGCCATAAGGGGAGAGTGGGTGGGAGAGGGAGAAGAAGCTGCCCCAGATGATAGCTGCTTCCAAGTTAAAGTAGGAGTTGTGTTGAAACCAATGCAGACATGTGTGGCACCTCTTCCTCCCACACACCTCATATCCAGGTTTTAACAGGTTTCTGTGACCTTTTCCAATGCCACAGATCATTTATGTAGCAAAAAGAAACAAAAGCTCAGATAGTACCGCAAAATCTGTACTCTGGCCAAACTATATTGACTGGGAACAATATGTTCAGATATAAACCCATGATGAAGTGGAAAGCTATGTGCCCAAATTGGACTGAAGATCAGACTAAGGGCATTAAGGCTTTTGAGTGATGTGATGGGTACATCACAATGTAGGCGTTACCATGTATTCTCAATGGCATGGGTGAAATAAACCCAGCAAAGCTTTTTAACAACCTTCATGGGATATACATGGGTCTAATGCATGTCTGCTCAACAGACATGGGCAATATCACCAGATCTCCCCCTACATGGGGAGAAAGTGCCACTTGAGGACATGATGTGTGCAGTGGTAATCAATCATGACCAACATTCCCTCAAAAAGAGTCTCTCACTTCAATCATCACTTTCCAGTTAGATTACTCACATTTCAGCAAGTCCAGAAAATTATGTAAGAAAAAATAGCAGAAATCACGCAATTACCAAAAAAGTCAGGAATATGTGAAAGCTGCTTTATCACGGCAATTAAGCCTGGGTGCCTAGGAACACAGAGTGCAAACACAGGAGGTGGGGGTACCACACAGGTACATTCAAAAGGACTGCATGCCATGCCACAAGCCAAAGGGCAGCAAGTGGGACAGCATCTGATTTCACTGCTACAGAATACTGAAAATATTGTAATGTATGTATTAATAATTAATTTGGCATTGTAAAAGCCATTTTACTGTAAAACAGAGATGTGTGACTATTACTGGAGCCTGCAGAGAAACAAAGATAAATGTCCTTCCCCAGACCTATCATCATCCAAAGACTGGATTGGGAACATGATCCAGGACTGCTGACACCTTTTTCTGCTGCTGTCACGAGATCACATTACCACAGGCAGAGAGTGCTCTGAGTGTTAGAGGTCATCTTCTGTAGGAAGCAGGAAAATGGAGACCCTGCCAGATGCAAGGAGAGGAGTAAAGTGTGGCTGGGACAGCACGGCAAAGCTTCCCTGGAAAGGCAAGCTGACTTTTCTCCAGAAATAGACCGGAGAGAGCACTAAGGACACAAGAGTTATTGAAGGTAAAAGTAAACTCTGGAACAAGAACTGACAATAAGCCATTTTAAAATGTTCATGAATAAATTTACACTGGAGATGAGAGGGAACATTATTTATATCCTTACTCGGAAGTGGGAAGATAAAGGCAAGGGAGGAGGGGAGAAAGATGAAGAAACTGATACCTTTCATGGTTAAAAGACAAAACTTAATTTAAAAATAAAAAAAAGATTTCTATAAGATGGCTCTGGCATAGCAAATAACTGCTCTACATTAACCAGACAATGTATTTCCATTCTATGCTGCTGTGCTACTGAAGAATTGTTATCAAAATGCACAGATGTCCTTCACTTTCTACTTCTCTTTTCTTTATTCTTTTATTTATTGTTCCTTCCTTCATTTTCTCACACCCATTACAAGTGCCAGGAAGTTCAAAGCCCCAGCAGGTTTGCTACCACTTGGTCCCATCTCACATGTGTTATTTGTACAGAGACTAATGCATTACTTGGAACAGCCACAGGCTTGAAAAGCTGGCAGTTGTTCAGAAACATAAAAAAAAATGGCTTTCAGGTCCAAATTAACCCAGGCCCAAATTCCACATTGTACAAATTGATTGTGAATGGTGCTTTAATTTACCTCTAATTTGTGATAGCATCATTATCACATGGAGTTAGTGTGCTCCTCACAAACGCCATCTCCCTTTCAGAGAAATCAAAACATAATTGGGGATACATTGATATTTACATCAGGAGGGGTACAAAGAGCAATCTGCTGAAGACGTGGTTGCAACCATTAGACCTGCAGTGAAGAAAATGGGGGTCGCTGGACAAAATGACTGGCCCAAAATGCCAGCGGTCCTGGATGGTCAGTACCAATTAGAACAATTAAATTTAAGGTTTGCTTTTCAAAACTCAGAAGGGTTTTCAAAGGCAGCAGGTTTAAAATATCAGTGGAGTACCATACTGTTATTTTTAACCATCCATGGCTCCATCCTCCCACATTCACTTTCCTCCTGAGGCTTCCATGCCTTTAGTCTCCCCACTGCAATAATCCTAGAGTCTCCTATAGTCTCCTAAGTCTGTTTCTTTCTCAGATGATGGGCTCTCTTTTTGCTCTTCTTTCTCCCTGCTGCTGCCTCTCCCAGCATGCTTCCTTCACAGAGCTCATTAGTGCCTCTGCTTTGAGAAGCACATCTTTGCAGATGACTGCTAAGTCCTCATCTTGAGTTGTGCCCCATTCATGAAGCAGGTGCAATCAATAAGAAGGATGATTGGAGCTAGGCTGAGGACCCACAGTGCAGGAGAGGAGATAATATGGCGTTAATTCTGGCATGTGAGAAGGAGGAGGGGGTTACAGGAAGGTTGAGACAGCTACAGCTTCCATATCTTCAAGGCAGAGGCGCTGTATCTGTGGTGCATTTTAAGACTGAAACACATCAAGAATGGAAATAACCTATATTTATATTATGTATGGTCAGACAGCTCATTCCTGACAGGATGCTCCCCGTCTCCTGTCTTGTAGCACACCCCTTATTTCTCTGGCAATTTCCAGGTCCCACAGAGGACCTGGAAACTTTCTGCCAACACGGCAGCAGTTTCCTTTCTCTACCCTTCCTTCACTGACATCTGCCAATGGTTAACTTGTGTCCTTTTGGTTTTCCCCTTTCCTTCCTGTTCCTTGATTCTACCTGCCTTTGTGACAGAGAAATGAGGAGACTCTTACCAAGTGATTTCCCTGGCTCTCCTTCATAGTAGGTAAGTGCTGAGCTCCACAGCAGTTCCTTCAGCTCCCTCGTTTCAAGAATTCCTTCTGCAAAAAGTCACATGCTTTTCTGTCTAAGCTTCCTCACACTTTCCAGGAGGAAGGGTAACTCATGTTCTCTTGTAACTCCAGTAACCTTCCAGGAGGTGTACTTTCTGTTCCTCCTCTCCCTTCCTCCACTGCCTTGTACACACACTGCATCCATTGTACTGCCATTTCTGTGTTTTGTTCTCATTCCTACCTTCCAGTCTTCTTTCATGTAATTTTTTCTGCTTGACAAATATCAGCCTACTACATATGATCTCTCTGCCCACAAGAGACACAGGTTATACAAACAGGTTATAAAGAGAGATTTTTGTGCCCAAAGCATGCCTAGTTTTTCTGACAAATATAAGCAAAACTTTGCCCCCTTAAATCTCCGACGATCATGGCTAAAACCCCACAGTTTCCTCTTCAACACACACCATCTGCAATGGTGCAAATTCAGAAAAAAACCTCACCCTAAGTTTTAAGGCTGGTTTGAAAGGTAAAGAATCCCCACTTCAATAGGGTGAAATAATATGACAAGGGTGGTGATTAACTCTCACCACAAAGGAAAATGTTGAGTTGATGTAGGTGGCATATAAAACCCCCTACTCTCTTTATGAGTCAGGTAAGCTGCCAGAAAGCAGAGGTGGAGTCCGTGGGATAGAGCTGTTTTCATTCCAGCCAGTCAGTAGTATGCTCTCTGAATGACAAAAAAAAAATAGTTTAATTATTAAATGATTTTTTAAAATGAAGATTCTTATTTAAATAGCAAAATTTAACATTTGCCCTGGATCCTCAATGAGCAGTAGTCAGTGATAGTCAAGGGGAATAATTATTAAACAACTCCACCCCCCACCCTCTGAGGTTAATGTAGTATTTTTGGTTTATGTATCTATTCTTCCATCTCCCACCCAATGAATATGATCCTGCAGTCATAGCTCTCTCCTCTCCCTTTGGCTCCAAAGAAAGGGGAAGCTGAAAAGCCAGGATTCCAGTCTCACCCCATACAGAGCCCTTTTCAGAGGCAGAGCTTAGAACTGATAAGGAAAAAGCATTTCTCTCCCAATAACTGCAGAAAAGTGGCTTAATGAATGTATAAAACAAAACAATTGGGGAAAAAAAAAAGAAAAGCATTTTGTGAGGTCTTATTTTGGGTCAGTCCAAGATCCAAGGGATAATTCAAAGAGATGGTAGTGTCCCTTATCTAACATTATAATATTTTCATTAAAAAAACCCTGAAATTGAGAAATGTCATTAGGTCCTTGAATTCAAGGGACTTACAGTTCTCCTCTGGTACTGCCAGTGGGAGCACAACAACTGTTCTGTTCACAGTGCAGCCTGAGCAAGACGCTTTTCTAAGTACACTTCTGAATTTAGGAACGTTTCCCACACACTTAATTCTTCAGTCTACCCAATATATGTGTTGGAGGATGGGTAGGAGCAGTGTATTTCAGGTGCTGAGAAAGGGATGCAATACAATCAGACTACCAGCATAAGTAATTTCTTTGTTTCAGCTGGAGAATGGAAGACATGGAGTAGAGTACAGGTATATGTATACACATATATATGTAATATATTAGTATACATATTTATTACATTATTGTTTTACATATATATGTAAATGCAAGGGATGAAAAGGACAATAACAAAAGGAACAGGGTGGAGAGAAAATGTCAAGAGGAAGGTAGAGTAAGACAGTGGATGGAAGTGGGATGTCAGAAAGGAGATAGTAGGAGAGGATATAAAAAGAAAGACAGAAAGTGAGGGGGAAAAAAAAAGATGTAAGAAGAAGATATATGAAAGGGAAAAAAAAATGAGAGAAAAGC